AACACACCAATACCTTACAAATTTTTAAACACAATTGTTAATAAAGCAAACACAAGAGGCGTTGTTTGTCACAGTCAATTACTTCGTTATTTTTTTATTATTTAACACATTTTTTTTAAAGTAATAAAAATAAAACACACCCCAAAACAAATATTGGCGTAAAGCACAACTTTAATAAACTAATACCCAATCTCCTAGATGTGATCATAAGTAAACATTTGTGGCATTATTGCACAGAAAAGTTAAAGTTCTTCCAGTTCAACTAATCACAAGCTTAAAACGCTCTTGTTTTCCTAAAAGAGTCTTATAACTTATTAGGTATAAATAAAAAAACTGAAATTTCTACAGTGCGATCAAAAAATCTGTCTATCAGGCAAACCTAGAAATTTAAAACGTATTAAGATAAGATGTCACAATGACAATAAGAAATGTCAAAATAATTTTTATGTAAACTGTAACATCAAATTATAGTGAACGATTTATATGAATAAACACCAACTACAACTCATTTTATGGTATTTTAAGACGTTTTAATTTGCTTAGATTAATACTTTAACTTTTATAAAATAATTTTTTGACATGTAGTTGACACATGAACTGCCAGACGACATACGTCCCCAATTAGTACGCCTACTTGATATAAAGACTTTTTGATCGTCCTGTATTTATATTTTGAATTTTGAAACTGATTATATTTTTGCACTAATTACTCATTTTGCACTACGTAGATACATTAATATCAACAAACATTTTTAAACATATTTTACAAATGAAATGTACCTAAACTCAAACGGGATACATGAATGTTGTTTTTAAATCATAATTAGTCTAATTAGCGTTTTGTAAAAGATTTAAAAATAAGCACAAACCGGTAATTTGAAATAATGAAGATTAATTAGTGCTAAAAAACTTGTAAATATTTTCCGATTAAAACTGTTACTGTTATAAAAACTTAAAAAAAAAAACAAAATTATGGATCATAATGATAAGACTCATCTTTTGGTCTCGATTCTAGAGTAAATCTTGTAAAATTAACATATTTTCAACTAAAAACGTAAAGTTTATATTAATGAGACTTTAGAAAAACTCCAATTCATAAACAGGAAATTCGTGACTAAGTACTCGTATTCATATTCAGAATCACGAGTGGGCTTAGGTGTTACTTAGATAACAAAAATATGTATAATTGAATAGGTGTAGAGGAGAAACAATTTGAATTTGTAATGACAAGACGGAATGTTGCAGAGTTAACGAGCTTATTCCAAATTAACCAAAGTTTAATAAGTTATCCTGTTGTAACTACACGCAAAGAATAACAAACATGTAGTTGGCAGCAACCTGGTTGAAATATATCCCCATTTAACATGATAGAATTGTAGTTGTTTCCGTAGTGCTTCGATATAAACAAGAGTAATAAATAACGTTTGATTAGTTCGTATCGTGAAATTTTTGAAATATTTGCGAATGACATTAACTTAACAAGTGGATACAAATAGATCAAAAGCAGCTACCAACAATGGTAAACAGGACAAATGGGGTACTTTGGCAAATCCCAATCGTACCAACCACGAACAGTAAACAAACGTGCTGTCATGTAACTACACTCAATTGATTTCCGTTGTGGCTGGCGTGCTGTAACAGGACACTATATCCAACATCAATCAAACTGCTGATCCCAATCTTGTTGACAACCGGACGTTGCATACAACCAACTCGTATGAGCAATGGGCCTCATAAAAATCCCTGCAAATGTGCCCCTCATAGGCACACTATTATTCCCACTCCACAAACTCCCTAATCAAAAGTTATCGGAAATTACACGCGTTTACATAAGGAGGGATTAAAGCAAATTCCGTATTCATTAATCGATTGGTAATCTCATTAAAAGGCGGAAATTTCATACATCCATAAACCAAACACAGACACTACCAATTAGCTGCTCTTAACAGTAACCTGTGGGTAATTACCGTTCTAATACTAAGGGATGACAAAGCACACTTTATTTTTAATGCCGCCCCCACAATCACACATATTTCATTAAAGCAAACACCCGAGTTAAAACCCCTAAATCGTAAAGAAAAACCAAGAAAAAGTCGTGCTTTGCCTAGAAAACAGGAAATACAAAAGTAGCAGGATATACACCACTTCACTCTGGCAGGACGCAACAAGAATTCACGGTGCTACTTCCTGCTCTGGTTCCCTACTTGGAAAAACTATTTTGTTCATTTCCTGCTTCAAGTACCTAACTGGAATACTGACTTTCAAGATATTTATCTTTGGCCTAACTTCCACAAAGTCAAATTCCTAAACAAAATCTCTAATATCGCAATAGCTACTTAGCAAACTTTCCATCGGTGGGTTAAATTTATCGGCAATAAAAGTAACCAACTTTTAAAAACTTAACTTAATCTAAAGTTTCCTTCGGTGCATTTTCGTAAATGGCACTCAACGCAAACAATCGCACTTGTTTGAATTAAAGTGAAGCAGAGACAAACCAGATTCCGCACTTTAATTTATTTCATCACCAAATTTCATAATTGGAGCTTTTCGAAACATGTTGTTGGAAAAGACACACCATTGCATTATTAGCACGATTTCTAGGCAGTAAACTTGATTCAGAAACTTTTCGTTTTGCGAAATATTAAAAAGTACAGTTTTTGAATAAAGTTTAAAAAACAATTTAACGAAAAAGTACAATTCATTATAACGGGTGTTTTGTTTTTTAAAATTTGGCGGCAAAACTAAGGAGACCAAATACAGAAAATTCAAAATCATGACGACTCTAATAAAAATAACTGTAATTTTATTCTAGAACACAAAATAAAAAATAAAACGACTCTTACCAATTTAACTGTTTAGAATTTATCAGATGATTAAAAAGCAAACGGTTTTTGCTTAAACTATTTATTTTTTGTAAAAACTAATT